TGGGAAACTTGTTACATTGGAAACGCTTGTGTGACTAGGGGTATAAGCGTTTGTAAATTTGTCAATTTTCAACAGGTAAATTAATACCAGACATAATGTAAAGGTCCCCTTGCTGGTGCTAGTAGCAATTTTACACTCAGTTGACTTTTAAGCTATTTGAATTTGCAACCAATGTTTTGGCGAAGAGTCTACACTGAAATACCAAAATGTCTCAAATGTCTCTTTTTAATTTATAATGACAAACAATTTTTTTTGTCCGACCAGACTGGCTTTTTGTCAGGTCAAAACTTGTCTTTGTCGTGACAAATGACCTGCCTATAAACAAAAATTATTTGTAGGCTTGGTGAGGTATTTTGTTTTGAAAACTACATTCCTGTCAAGGTTCACGGTTATTATTACGAACCCTAGTGGGGTGTTTTAGACCGAAAGCCACATCTCTCTGGGGTGGCACGATTTGCAATATTAACCCTTGTGTGATGCAAAATCAACCCCGTTGGGGTTATTTTTTGTTATCCTGGACACTTGTGGGGTGATTTCAGGGGAAAAAGAAAACCTTTCTGGGGTGTCTTGTTCAACAGATTCACTCTGCTTGTTTTTTTGAGTATTCACTCCTTTCTCCACTCTAATAACCTATATATATACACATTATATACACACAAGTGGTATTGGCAAGGATCTCTATAAGAAGAGGTCATAAAAATGGAAAAAAACAAAACAAGACAAAACCAATGCAAATGCACTGCCCCTTTTTGTCTCCAGAACAAGAATGGTGGTCACTTCACTGCTGCCTCCTTCTCCGCTCACTTGAAGAGTGTGCTATATGGCCTTACGGGAAAGCTGGCCTCTATAAACATCCTTCGATCTTCGTTCATCACATGGGCATACGACAAATCGTGAGTGGACGCATAGTTATTCTTAGTAATTCAGAGTGCACATTTAATCTTAAAAATAGTGAAGTTGAGTCAAGAGGTCAATCTTTCTTTGACTCGCATGAAACATTCTTAGCTTAAAATCAAAGGATTCAAATAATTTATTATTTCTATTTTCTCTTGGGACCATTCTCAGTCCCAGGTGAAACTGGAAACAGTTCTTATGCAAAATTTTAGAGGGCAAACAAATAGTATTATGGTATTTTTGAAAGTGGCCTATTATAAAATATATATTTTTAACAAGAAGTATTGTGGTATTTTTGAAAGTGGCCTATTATGAAATGTACATTTTTTCTTTTCGCTCACTGGCTGGCATTTTTAAGTCTTTGGTCAATCATAACTCAGACATTGTTCTATGATTTTAACAGGGACTGTACCGACTCTCTCAAGGTTTCCTTGGCATCTGCGCTCAGGCATTCACGTAAACAAGCACAAACTACGTATGATCGGCGCACAGCAAATCAGAAGAAACGGCTGGCAGTTGACTTGGCCAGAGATTACGCAGAGGGCCGTCTCGACGAAGAGGAAGATGCGACTGCTGAGCAACCAG